TTTGAGTGATTATTTCCCTCAGAAATTACTGGACATCACAGTGGTAAATGCCAACAGCATTATTTTCAAAGAGCTAAATCCAGAGAAAGGCATGAACCTCAAAGACTTTCAATGAACTGTAATTGCAAGACTTGTAGGGGGCACAACAAGGTTCCCTTAAGAATAGAGTATTAGTTAATGCGTGTCAACAACTTTAAGCCCCACATTCCTCAAGAGAAGCAATTAGACAAAGCTACACATAAGCCTGTTCAGGGAACATCCAGAAAGTCTGCACAGCACAGTACAGCTAAAATTCCACACTGCACAAAACGGATGTGTGAGACACGTGGAACTGGACTCTGTGTGAATGAGCAAGAACAAGAATTGTTCTGCTGATTATCACAAAAAGTGAGCAATACCTACCTGGTTTCCCAAGGGTTTCGATGCGGAACCACATGAAAAAATATTTTTACTAAAAAACTCTGTAAATATATTCCTTAACTATATAAATTTAAAATAAAAATAAAAATATAGTGTATATAATACTTTTACTTCTTGGTAATCAAAGGATTACCATAGGCCACATAGAAACACATGAGCATATATTGCAGACACTTAGTAGATCTAGCAATGATGTCAGGAAAGACTCCATGTGATTCACTGAGAAGAAATTTAAGGTACCACAATGGGCAGGCAGGGTGGATTTTAAGGAGAAGTCCTGCATCTCCCAGGAGTGAACACTATGTTTAAGTAACCTCTAAGAAACTCATTTAAATCACTAAGCAGGACTTGTCTAAGTCATTCTTTGGATTCTTAACACTATCTCAGTTCAGAGGGTGGTTTTTCTATACCATCCCAAGATTTTCCCACAATAATACCTAAAAGAATTGAAAGTGAGGATTTGAACAGATTTTTATGCATTCACACTGCATTATTTATTGATTTATTTGAGACAGAGTCTCACTCAGTCGCCCTAGATTTGAGTAACATAGCGTCATAGCTCATAGTAACCTCAAACTCCTGGACTCAAGCAATCCTCTTATCTCAGCCTCCCAAGTAGCTGGGACTACAATTGCCTGCCACAGTGCCTGGCTAGTTTTTCTGTTTTGTAGAGATGGGGTCTTGCTTTGTTCAGGCTGGTCTTGAACTCCTGAGCTCAGGTAGTCCTCCCGCCTTGGCCTCCCAGAGTGGTAGGATTACAAGTGACATAGCCTTATTGACAATAGCAAGAGATGGAAGCAAGTCAAGGGTCCATTAACTAATGAATAAACAAAATGTGATATATATACACACACAATATTATTTAGCCTTAAATAGAAAAAAAAATTATGACACATGAATGAATCTTGAGAACCTTATGTTCAGTGAAATAAATCAGTAACAAAAAAGACAAATATCATATGGTTTTAACTATTAACAGGTAGTTGAAATAGTCAAAATCAGATAGGAGAATGGTCCTTACCAGGGGCTAAAGGGAGAGGGAAACAGGGAGGTACTGTTTCATGGGTACAAAGTTTCAATTTTATAAGATGAGTTCTGGAGATGAATGTTAGTGACAGTTACACAACATTATGAATCTATTTAATACCACTTAACTGCACACTTCAAAAATGGTTAAGATAGTAAATTTGTTATGTGTCTTTCACCCCAATTTAAAAAAAAGTGAGGCCAGGTGCGGTGGCTCACACCTGTAATCCTAGCACTTTGGGAGGCCAAGGTGGGTAGAGTGGATCACCTGAGCTCATAAGTTCGAAACCAGCTTGAGCCAGAGTCAGACCCCATCTCTAAAAATAGCCAGGTGTTGTGGTAGGCACCTATAGTCCCACCTACTCTGGAGGCTGAGGTAAGGGGATCACTTTAGCCCAAGAGTTTAAGGTGCAGTGAGCTAAGATGCCACAGCACTCTACCAAGGGCAACAAAGTGAGACTCTGCCTCAAAAAAAAAAAAAAAAAAAAGTGAACTGGTTTATCTGTAGTCATACATTCACATGAGAACACATGAGTGCCTGCAACATATGCATTTGTTCAAAGAAAATAGTTATTAAACATCAACTGTGTCCTAGGCAGCACTAGGCACTAGGGACACAGAGAAGAAAGGTAGGATCTCATGAAACTTAAAATGGGACCAACTATCCTCATTACCTAAAGACTAATTACTCACTGTAGCAAAGTACTTTGAAGGAAAACAATCTGACAAGAAAGAATAAAAAAGGATTCTAAATATAGGTAATGTTTTAACTCCACTGGTTCTACCCAAGTTATAATCTTAATTAATTCAACTGTATTTTAAATGTGCCGGATGCATTAAAAACTTTAAAAGGGGGGAAAAAAAACTAAAAGGTCCATAGCAAGGTTTTATACAAATAAGGCTAATTGGCAACAGCTGCCCTTTAAAGTTCTCTATTTTCAAAACCTAATTAAAGAATAAAGATTATCTGTACCCATAGGGATTTTCTAGTAAGGCAAATGATAACTGGGAAGAGTTCACCATCAATGACTTTACTTTTTAAGAGAAAGTATTCTCCCTATGTTCCCCAGGCTGGACTTGAACTCCTGGACTCCAACTATCCTCCCATCTCAGCCTCCCAAACTAAACACACACACACCCACACACACACGCACCATAGCACTCTGCCCATCAGTGATTTTTATTTATTTCTTATTTTTTTGCAACAGAGTCTCACTCTGTTGTCCCAGGCTACAGAGCTGTAGTCACAGCTCACAGCACCCTCAAGCTCCTAGGATCAAGCAATCCTCTTGCCTCAACCTCCCATGTAGCTAGGACTACAAGCACTCGCCACCATGCCCAGCTAGTTTTTCTTTTCTTTTCTTTTCTTTTCAGAAGGTGAAACAATTTTATTTTACAGTTGTCTTTAAAATCACAAAGACACTATTTTTTTCATATAGAAACATTAGTATGAGACACCTACACTTTCTAGAAAATGATTATATAGACCCTCTCAAAGAAAAATGCACCTCATTATAGCATAAGTGAGGTTCTTTAGAAAAAAGTTACCTGTGGGACTGTTTCCTAAAACATACTGTTCCACTACCCTCCAAATTTTGGTTCAAAGTATAGATTATTGTCATCAGTATGTGTCTTGCATTTTTAGATACTTGATAATACACATACAGAGTGCTTTATCACTTAAAGTTCCATTGGTTCATCAGTTTTTTCTGCAGGTTCATCAGTAGGTTGAACAAAGTGTGCCTTTCTCTGAGGCCTTTCTTCAAGACCTTCCAAGAATGGAGACACATCATCATCATCATCATCGTAGACTCCAAGTCTTTGCCAACAATTCCAATGGAAACATTCTTTGTAGTTAGGTCCTGATCTCCAGGAAGTGTCTCTCTTAAGGCATGCAGACCATGTTTAACCAGTTCATTTAAATTGCACTCCATAAATTCAGACATACATCTCTCCGAGTAAGTATGAGCTGATTGAGAACGAGCTCCAATGGACATAGCTCGGCAGTCAAAATAGTTAGCAGATAGACAAGTTTGGAAAATGTGAGTGCCCATATCATCATAACCAGCAATAAGTAGCCTGACACCATATGGTCTCTGGCCATATCGTTGTGTTGGTATCTGGGTTTTGCTTTCAATTAGAGATACAATATGAGACAAGGTGGTGGTCTGCCAAATACAATCTGAAATCCAAACACTCCTGGCTCATAAAACGATGCAACAGTCTAGCATCGGCAGTAAGACCCACAATTGACATACCAACAGCATGGTTGTCAACGTAGAGAATTTTTCTCTGATGAGCTACAAGTTCTGACTATGTCCTTTTCAACGCTGCCAACACTGCATGGGTTTCTGACTTCAGATGACTGTGGCAGAACCTTGTTTAACAGCTTCCATTGCATATTCAATCTGATGAATCCTTCCCTGAGGGCTCCCAACTGTAAATCATTGTCATACTGGTTGGGAAACACGGTTGCGCCAGCCTGGCTGTAGCCTCCAGCAAAGTCTAGTTTTTCTATTTTTAGTAGAAACGGGGTCTCACTCTTGCTCCGGCTGGTGTCAAAATCCTGAGCTCAAGCTATCCACCCACCTCGGCCTTCCTGAGTGCTAGGATTATAGTCATGAGCCATTATGCCCAGCCCATCAGTAGTTTTGAAAAACAATTTAAGATAACTGAAACTTAAGGCCAATTTAAGTCTTCTTTATTAAAATTAACTGTTAGTTACAAGCTGCCTAAAATCTGCCCCCCATCTTTTCTTTGGCACCTATCTTCCATTTAACCACATCATGTATCAAATATCCAAGTTCTTGCTGAGAGATTCAATACCAAATCTGAAGAAATGACTGTAGATAAGCTACAGAAATGGAAATACAGACATTCTTACATCACTTTTTATTATCGTTACAAAGTACCCACCAATCTCCTATTTTAGTGAAGTCTTTAAGTCAAAGGTTATTGCCATGCCCATAAAGAAGTTACAAACTTCAACAATGCTCTGCAATTATTTCCTGTACAGTATCATAAAGATTTTCCTGAATATAGACAGTTCATTAAAATAGCATCCCCAAGACCCTGAGTCAGTGGGAATGCGTTGCTACCCAGAAATATTTAATGAGGTGCACGGGGTTCACAAACTACACAGTAGAAACAACCAGTCTTAAATCACTATCAAGAGGTATTCCCAAACACATACCTATGAATATAGATGTGGGGATGTATGCCTAAGAATCTCTTACTCTTAAAAATAAGAACCCAGGCTTGGCGCCTATGGCTCAGCAGCTAGGGCGCCAGCCACATACACTGGAGCTAGGGAGTTCAAATCCAGCCCAGGCCTGCCAAACAACAATGACAACTACAACCAGAAAATAGCTGGGCATTGTGGTGGGCACAGTCCTAGCTATTTGGGAGACTGAGGGAAGAGAATCACTTAAGCCCAAAGAGTTTGAGGTTGCTGTGAGCTGTGACGCCATGGTACTCTACCCAGGGCAACAGCTCCAGACTCCGTCTCAAAAAAAAAAAAAAAAAAAAAATGAACCCAGTTTAGCAATACTTACAGTCAACATTGGAGTGGTCAACAGGCCCCATGCAAAGAATTCAAGGAAGATGACAATAGCAGCATGATATACACTTGGTCGGCCAAAGCCTTGTAGCTAAAAAAGAAAGAAAGTTATTACCAAAAACAGCAAAAAGCAAAAGGGGAAACCCAACTCGAAAGTCTCCCACACAAGTCCTTTATGGAGGAGTATATATTACATTTTGGCCAGGACTTGGCCAAAAACATTTTGCATTCATTAACATTTTTTCAAAGTTAATGAATGTATTAACAATGAATGAATGCAGTCCCTCCGCTTAGGACAAGGTTATTAGATTTTAGCAGTTTGTGTCTCAGGGAAGGGATTAGGCTGTGTGCTTCCTACTCAAGGTGGAACCATCCAAAAATATTTCAGGTTGCTTTGTTCATGACCTTGCTAGAGCCCAGAGAGTGTGGCCTGGAAAGGGCAGCCTGTTTGTGCCTAGAGATGGTCTGGTTTCTGAGCTCACCTGGGCCTAGAGAATGTGAGGTCCCTGTCCAGCCCTGAGTAAGGAAATCCTGTATCACCCTCAGCCCTAGCCTGACTGACTCCATCTTATTCTCACTATATGCACTCTCAATACTAGCTAGACAAACCGTGACAAATTTTGTCTTTCCAACCACCTTCATTTCTCCAAGTCTCAAGCTCCCCATTTCTAACCTCTCAGGTATATTAATTCCATTGTTTAGGCTATGAGCAAAGTCTCATGACTTTTTACTTTTTATTTCCTAGTGGAGCATGTTGATTTTGTTCATCAAACTTTTAGAATTCTTGAGGTATTTACTGCCACCCCTAAGTGTAACTCACAGGACTCTATGTAAGAAAAAAAACCCCTGCCTGCTTCATTTCATAGGTTTTTCTCACTTCTTAAATGTCTGAGCTGGGGCGGCGCCTGTGGCTCAGTGAGGAGGACGCTGGCCCCATATACCAAGGGTGGTGGTTTCAAACCCGGCCCCAGCCAAACTTAAATGTCAGCGTTATTTAATATGAAAAAAAAAAATAGCAGAAAGATACAAAATATTCATTACCCTAAAATGGTACAGGAAAAAAGATACATAAAATAAATTTAGGATCTATCCATAGTATTTAAGATAAAATTTCATTCTGTTGTATCCCTGATGCCTTCACCTACTCTAATCATTGAAGGTGGTTAAGATTATAGACTTTGTATTTGTCCCATTAATGCAAATCACTAGAGCTTTAGGAAAAAATTATCTGGGTTTTCAAGAGACCAAAGTTTGAGGATGTGACTGTTCTGTTCCTTACTAATTTATGTGTTCCTTAGTAACTTAATTTCTCCAAGACTGAAGTTTCTAATTTAACCACATTAAAAGATAGGCATGGGGGTCATATGCTCAAAAGCCTTGGGGCAGCACACATGACTTAAATAATAGGGGCTAAGTCAAACTTGAAAACATACTTCATACCTAAAGGTGCCAAACAGTGTTCTGTTTCTGTTTTATTTTAAAGACTGTGCCTAATCTGCTACCTTTCTATAATTTATGACTTCCAGGGATAAAATCTAAAATTCCTTTCAATGTAATATCCTTTGATATCCTTTGATTCTGTGACAGTGGTTATTCCAAGATCAGGTATTCTACTAGTATTTGGTAGTAAATATAAGTTATAAAAGGCTTTGTAAAACCCACATTATTCTCATCCTTACATTTGCAACTCTTCAAAAGGCAAAAAATACTGAGAGAGGATACCCAGGAAGAGTGAAGTCTAGAAGAAGAGAACTCTTCTTAAGAAGACCCCAAGGATAGACCTGCAGCGTCCTGTCCACGGTGACTTAGCTCTTAGGAATTTGTAGACTTAACTTCCTAGGATCTGGAAATTTCTACTTCTGTGAAATCTGTAGTTCTGTTCAGGTTGGAAGAGCTTCTCCCGCTTGATTCAAACTAACCAGTGAGAAAGGTTAGAACTTTTTGCCTGAAGATAAAAAGGGAAAGACCAAGCCAGTAGGGTACGTGGCCATTTTGAATTCTTCTATGCCCTAAGCTCCACTGGCTGAAATAAAAGCCTTGTCCTCTTAAATATGGTCTTTGGGTGCTCTTTCTCTCCATTGGGCCTTGTTTTCTGCAACAATACAACTGCCTGGTTTGACTAGAATTTAATCAGGAAGAAATCGTCAAATGCAGATTGTAGGAAGTCTAGAAAACTGACCTGGTGTCCTTAAAACTATCAATATTGAAAAACAACAGTAAAGGGAAGGAAGTAGACTTCCTTTAATTTCCAGATTAAAGGAAAAGAGAGCGACCACAGGACTGCTCTAAGATAAAATCTTGGATGAAAAGGAAACAACAGGAAAAATATGAAAACGACTACAAACCAGATAATCATATAGCATTAATGTCAGACCTGGCTATTCTTGACATTTTTTGATGCTGCACTTACTATTAAATGGCTTGGGAAAAAACTGGTGTATATATACTTTCTAATATCAATGTCACAAAATGTTAATTGATTAGAATTTAGATCAAGGGACTACGAGCACTCATTGTACTGTTCTTTGAAATTTTTTAGTTTTGACAACTTTCAAAAAAGAATTAAGTACAATTGTTATTAAATATACAAACTTGCAAATTTCTCAATGTCAAATAATAAGGCAATTGTTTAAATTCATTAAATAATAAAACATTTCCAAAATGAAAAGCACAAAGTTTAAGAGAGAAAAAAAAATTTAAGTGCCTAATAACAAAAATCAAAAAGCCCTTAATGTCAATCAGTACAGCCTTCAAAAAAGTACCAATTTTCACCAGTCCTTCACCAACAGAACAGTGAATGGAAATAGAGGCAATTAATCAGCCTCTGCCCGTAACACAGCATTCTGACTGAGACCCTTCCAATACTCCTTCCAGTACTGGAGTCAGGAACTTTGCCTGCCTCCTCCCTTGCTGTTTTCTCTCCCCTGGTGCAATGTTCTCTCTACTTGCCTAGATTATAGAGTAACTTTCTAAAGAGGACATTTGCTGCTTCTACCCTTGCTCCTTTGCCCACTGCATGGTAGTCAGAGTGAAATTTTAATTTAATTTTTTTTAATTTCTATAATTCAGATCCCATTAACTCTTCTGATGCACCCTCCTTGCCTCCCACTGCATTCAATCACACACTACATGTCCAAAAAAATCTTATGCCCTATTGTTTTCTAGAGGATTTCCAACAAATCCTACAATTTATTTTTTATTTATTGTCTACCTCCTATGGAATATAAATGCCATGAGGGAAAGGATTTCTTCTTGTTTTATTCAATGATCAACCCCAAAAGCCCTTTTCTTACCCCACTATAGGTCTGCACTCAGCAATACAGTAGTAGTGAGGACTGAACTCTGACCTTTTTTCTTTTGTCCAACTTCCTTTCTAAGAGGCCTGGTGAGTCACACCTACAAACAATAAAATCTCACTAACTGGATTTTATTAACTGGATATAATGTGGTTTGCCTTCCAACGTGATTCCCATACAGCATCAAATCACAGATAGAAGACTCCCTTATATTAATTCAAATCATCTTAGCAGATCCCTAAGTTAACTCAAGCATTCCTTTCTACCCAGGTCTACCCCAGGTCTTTCAACAAAGCTTAACTCTTGCAACCAATTGCCAACTAAAGAATCCCTAAAACCCACCTATGACTTAGAGACGCACTCCATTTTCCAGCAGAAACAAAGAATACCATCCATGTTTTGATTTATGATTTTGCCTGTAATTCCTATTTCCATGAATGTATAAAGCCAAACTGCAAGCCAGCCACATCAGGTACATTTTCTCAAGACCTCTTAAGGCATGCTTTCCCTGGCCACAGAAGCACTCATTTGGCTCAAAATAAACCTCTTAGAATTATTTTACAGAGTTTGGGTTTTTCTGTTGACAGAGACTAATGTCTCTTTTCTCTGCTTTCATTCAAAATAGCAAAGCCTAGAATATAGAAAAATCTTTGGAACAATGTCCCAATTTATTTATAAATGTGTAAGTAAATTTAGAAATCAACAGATTTTCAATATGAACCATGTAATATACAGGACACTGGATTGCAAAAAATGCATACACTGTATGTATATTTTAGATTCTAGCTAGAAAGTAGTGGACAAATTCTTAACTCTGAAAGCTAACAATGAATTAAGTAGTTTTCCACAGATCCATCTTTAAGGAGAAGGCATCTTTAAGGCCATGTATGAATGAATAATTTAATCTATATGCATTTACGAGTAATTTCCTAGTCAACTGGATGAAAATTTTGACCCCACACTGAAAAGCAAAAGATGCCAAACAGTGGGTAAATATGTCAAGAAATGGTCTAAGTATTACCCCGGAATCATTCACTTTACTTATCAAGCATCATGCACAGAAGAATTGCAAAATCTTTAAAAAGCTCATCCTAGGAAGCACTGTAGGCTAGGAGGGCTAGGAAGGCTAGCCTATCCATTTGGCATTTGCAGTTTCTGTGGTTTGGTGCTCTTTCCTAGGTAATGATGCACTGTTTTATGAAGACTACTGAAATACAAATACCAGTGGCTAATTAAATACATGCTGATTAAATACAAAAATTAGATTAGACACATACCTTAGATGTATCTATCTTACCGTAGATACATACCATGGTCTGTGTTCATACATGATTATGCTATTTTCACATCATGCAAAAACCAGACAATCTACCTTTTTGTTCATTAACACTATATAATTAGGTATCGTCAACTAGAAATTGTTTAAATTAACAAATGCCCTTATAAAATGCAAATACTTTTTTATTCTCATCTCTACATAAATTATTTTAATTGAACTATCATTCACCCCTAGCCAAGAACAATGATACAGTGAGAAATACAGCATAACAGAAGGGCCCTGGAGCATGGAGAACCACATGAAGGCCATGGGATATGAGAAGATAACAAAAGTCTGCCTTCATTCCAATTATTCCTAAGCTCTTGGTGGCAAATATGCTGATGAAAAAAATGCCATACATTTTTCTTTTAAATTATGTGAACTAATTTTAGAAAAGCTTTATGAAAAATTAACCTATTATTTCTAGTTGAGCCCAATCTAGTACAACCTCTCTGGACCAGTTCTACATTTGCCTAG